AGAAAGCCCTTTCCCCCACAGGACCCTCCCGCAGGGAGAGGAGGTCGGGTTCGGAGCCCTATTCGGAGGTCACCCTTCAGTCCCTGACAGGGAGTATCTGACTCTCTCCTTCTCCTTGGGAGCCACCCACAATCCTGAGATACCTTCAGTGTGAAAGCAAAGACAGATGGTCTCTCTGCTGCTACGCCTGGTCCACAGTGGTCTATCTGCACCAGAGAGGGGACTGTTGCCATGGGGAGTTGCAGGTTTGGGATGAAGCGCAGCGGATGGAAGTGGGATCCTGGGAAGGCCTGTCTCTATGTTGCAGGACCCTCAGAGAAGTGCATCCAGGACGAGAAGGGAGCTTGGTTCACACCAGGGGAATTTGAAGTGGCTGGAAAGTGGGCCAAGTCCAAGAACTGGAAGCGGAGTGTCCTTTGCAGGGGACAGAGCCTGGGTCAGCTGCTAGAGGTATGGTAATGACTTACAGGTGGAAGGAACTTCAACAGGCACAATGTGAAGAAATCCCCAGTAGAGTTCAATAGCACAATAGATCGGGAGCTGAAACTTTGTAAGGTGAGAGTTGCGGGTGATGAAGTTCAGAACTTGGATCGATGCTGGTGGTGGCAAAGAAGCTTGTCTGAACCCCCAGAGGGTTTTATTGTCGGAGGAGACTTAAGAAGCTTTGTCTGCTGGTGGGGTGTTGGGTTCCCATCCACCCCTGGCCTCCCTATCCACGAAGTTCTACTGCAGAACCAGCTGCATGCAGACCCCTCTGTGCAGCATCCTGGGCCCCCCTGTCCGTGGTCAGTGTGTCCTCTGCACTTCCACAGCTCCTGTCCTGGGGACTTGTACAGCGTGGACTAGTCTTTATGACCCCAGGACCCATCACAACGACTCCCGATAATACCACACAATGATCCTGGGGGTAAAAGCATCAGGAGTGGATGTAGAGAGATTGGGGGAGGGGGGTAAGTTTTCTGTCCACGCAGCAACATTCACTGGGATGTGGGAACTTTTCCATTCCCTGAAGAGCATCCAGAGTAACTTCAACCACGGATCCCTTCTCTCTTTCAGAAAGGACTTCTGCTCTGTCCTTCGCAAGATTGTGCCACGAAGCAGCGGCAAGGGGAGAGCACAGAGGGCGGTGGTAGTGCTGGGGGGGCCTCCTTGGTGGAGCCTGTGCACCAAGCTCGCAGGATTGCCAGAGAAGGAACGGAGAGTAGTGACCGTGGATGTGGACCTGACCCTCGTCAAGATCGCCGCAGTCCCCCTCGTGACAGCATTGGCCATGGTGGCCAGGGCAGCAGCAGGGACAGGGTAAAAGGCAGAGGCTGCCTGGGAGGTCCCCAGCGGGAGCCCATCCCTTTCCCAGAGAGCAGGAAGGGGCTGGACTGCCCAGCCCTTCCCCCAGGATGGAAGAGGGAAGAAGTGATCCGGAAATCTGGGCTCAGTGCTGGCAGGAGTGATGTCTACTATTACAGCCCCAGTGGGGTCAAGTTCAGGAGCAAAGTTCAGTTGACCAGGGTTCTAGGTAGCACGGTGGATCTCAGCAACTTTGACTATCGAACTGGAAAGATGCTGCCTCCTAAGTCCCAGGCCAAGTAGCACCAGCGACCATGGGACAATCCTCAGCCCAACTAAGTGTGGGAGCGCTGTGTGCTCCGGTGGTTGACCCACAGTACAAACCCACTAGCCACTCAGCCAGATGATTGGTTCTAATGAGTTTAAAATTCATTCTAGTTTTAAATTCTTTCTGCTTTCTTCTGGATTGAGCTCTTTCTGTGTTTTATTTTGTAATTGTTGGCGGTGGGGTGGGGCTATAAGTTTATGGGACTCTTATGTCAATGAAACAAAGACAAATAAAAGATTTACAATCTGGGAAAACCAGGGGAGTGGTTTGCCTCTGTCCTGTAGGGTCACGCAGACCTAGAATCCGCTCTACCCACCTGCCCTGTACGTTACCACTCAGCACAGGGTGCCATGGTTCACCCTTTCTGGGTGCTGCATGCTCACATGTCTCCCCCTGCCCTCCTCCTGGGGGACACCTCCCCCTCTATCCGCACTGCATCTGGGAAGCCTGCAGCATACTCTCGTCAGAACCAGTCCCTTCAGCCCCTCTGCCTTCCTTGGGGCTTGGCCATCGTACCCACGTTCATAGTGTGTCTGCTTCAACTAGACTGTGAGCCCCGCGAGGCTAGGGTTCATGCCTCTCACTGTTTTTGTCTCTTGACTCCAAATCCTCGCACCTGCTGTGGTTAGGGGCGGTCCAATAGGCATCCACTCACAGCCACCCGCTGCACCACAGAAGGAAGCACTGGCAGTCCCACACCCTCCTCACCTCTGTGCTCGTGGCTGAGCCCACCATGCAGCCACGGGGTGGACCAGCTTGTCAGGGGTCTGCCTCTCTTTCACTGCCCCTCTACTTCACCGAGCCTGCTACCCTGTCTCTCCTGATAACATGCCCCAAGCCCGTGAGGCAACGTCTGCCCCCCTGGCTTCGAAGGAACATGCTGGCTGTTCTGTCGCATAAATGTTCACTTTGTGTTTGAAAAAAGAAAAAGACTCAAGAAACAGGATTTCTAGCACCTACTCAGCCACCCTCTTGAAGGCTTTCCACTCACCTTACAGCCCCTGAGTGTTCCTAGTGCAACTCTCAGTCCCATATAGACACTGCAACTTCCTGCCAGCCGATTCAGCCCAGTGCGCCAAGCTCCTGCCAGATGACGGAGGACGGGAGCAAATGACAAAGAAGGGAAGTGCGTGCGTGTCAGAAAGAGGCCTGGGTGCGTGCATGGCTCCAAACCGAAGGGGCCCGGAATGGAGGGGGCAGGGCTGCATGGTGAGCAGCCACCACGTTGAAGGAGACCACGTGGTGGAAAGGGTCATTTCTCCGTGAGCGTCCACCCAGAGCTGCTCAGTTTACTTCACGCCCCTTCACTACTAGTGCTGCCTGCGAGCCACCTGCACGTGACATTGACCGTCATGGATTGGCCAAGGCAGGGCTCCCCAACCTCCTGTGTCCAGTTAGAGGCAGCCTGCAGAGCTTCCGTGTGATTTTCCAGCCAGGGCAGGTGTGCCTCTCAGGTCTTGGCCAGAGACTGGGCTGTCCTTGGGCTGTGTCCAATCAAAGCTTATTAAGCAATGCTCTCCATCTTACGCTGGTTTCGCTAGAGAAAAACTGAAATACGAGGGGTTACCCTGAAAAAAAACAACAACCCACATTTTTCCTGTTGGCAAGCACTCAAGCAACTCACTCTGAGTTAGTGAATCCAGTGGTGTCACCTGGGAGGGTAATTCTGGTCACAGAGAATTTTTTGGTAAAAGCAGTTTCTCTGGAACCCCGTTCCTTGTGATGGCCAATTTAAGAGAACAGCGTGTGGCTGTGAAATTTTGTTTCCTGCTCAGGAAAAATGCTGCATACACGGTTGTGATGTTGAACACAGCTGACAAGGACAGTGCTATGGGTAAAACTCAAGTGTGTGAGTGGTTATCTCATCTCACAAAGAGGGAAATGTCATTTGATGACAAACCTTGGTCTGGACGTCTATAACTTCCCAAATGAACTAAAATGTCAACTTGGAGTGCATTTGGAATTTGTTCCACCAGGTTAGACTGTTAATAAAGCTTTCTATTTAGAGGTTTGGAAAAGATAGTGAAACAAAGGCCCGATTTGTGACACCAGGGACTGGTTTTGCCACGACAACAATGCACCTTCTCACACAGTCATCCCTGTGTGCCAATTCTGGGCAAAAACTCAGCATGCCTCTCTTGCCCCACACCCTTACTCACCTGACCTTGCTCCATGCAACTTCTTTTTGTTTCTGAGAATGAGGATGAAGAGGGTAAGAAAGGACAGCGATTTGACAACTTAGAAGAGGTAAAGAAAAAAAAAAGGGGAGGTACCATCAGCCATCCAAACATATGAGTTTGAAAAATGTTTCCAAGAATGGAATCGCAGATTTGACAAATGTATTATGTATAATGGAGAGTACTTTGAAGGTGATAAGGTTGTTTTGTAGAAAAATAAATTTAAGTACATAGCTTTGGGAAAATTTTTCTGTAGGTTTTGGGGGGGCACAGATCTCCTCCGTATGTATAAAAAAGTAGAGAGAGAGATTTAGCTCAAGGAAACATCTCATGCAGTTGTAGAAGCTGGAGAGCCCCAGGTGTGGGTCAGGTGAGAGACGTCTCCTGACTCGCAAGGCGGCAGAGTTGTTACTATTGCTAGGTGCCATCAGGTCGGCTCCCACCCATAGCAACCCCGTGCACAACCGAAGGACACCCTGCCGGGCCTGTGTCACCCCCCAGTGTTCCTATGCTTGCGCCAGTGTGTGACCATTGTCAATCCAACACATTGGGGGCCTTCCACCTTCTCAGTGCCCCTCCACTTATCAAGCACGATGTCCTTCTTCAGAGACCGGTCTCTCTGGACCACGGGTCCAAAGTACGGAAGACGAAGTCTTGCCATCTTGCCTCTAAGGAGCACTCTGGTCGTATGTCTTCCAACACAGATCGGGTTTTCATTCCAGACATCCGTGGTGCTTTCAATATTCCTGTCCAGCCCCAGAATTCAAACGCAGCCATTCTTCTTCACTTTTCTTTATTCAATGTCCAACTTTCTCGTGCAGAAAGCAATTGAAAAGATCATGGCTTGACTCAGGCACACCTTAGTCCTCAGGGAAATATCCTTGTTTTTCAATACTCCAAAAAGGTCTTATGCAGCAGATTTTCCTAATGCAAGACATCTTTGGATCTCTTGACTGCTGCTTCCATAAGCATTGAATATGAATGCAAGCAAGACAAAATCCTGGACAACTCCAACCTTTTCTCCATTTATCCTGATGCTACCCATTGGTCCAGTTATGAGGAATTAGGTCTTCCTTTCATGCGCTGTAATCCATAGCAAAGGCTACAATCTTTGATCTGCGTCAGCAAGTGCTTCAAGTCTTCGTGACTTTCAGCGAGCAAGGTGGTGTCATCTGCATACTTCAGGTTGTTAACAAAAGCCTTCCTCCAACCCTGATGCCACACTCTTCTTCATTTAATGGAGCTTCTTGGATTATTCAGTCAGCAGACCTAGTGAATACGTGTGGTGAGGAACGACAACATCGATGCTCACCTTTCCTCACTTTAAACCATGCGGCCCTCCCCTGTTCTGTTCACATAGCTGCCTCTTGACAAGCCCATTTCATCAAGTCAGATGGCAGGCCACTAGCTCATGGGGCTGGAAAAGCTGCAAATCCCCAAATCCCTGGGAGGCAATCCATGGAGCAAGGACTTCCTGTCCAACAAATGGTGTGGGAACAACTGGACATGCACATTCCCAAACCCCAAGTCTGCTCACCTTCAGCAGATGCTAGGGAACTGGTGAGGCAGCCATGGTGATAGAGTGGGTATGTGCTGAGCTGCTGACTGCAAAGTCAGCAGTTCAAAACCACTAGCCCCTCCTCGGGAGACAAATGAGGCTGTCTTCTCCTATAAAGATTTAATGTCTGAGAAACCCTGAGGGGCAGTTCTATTGTGTCCTATAGGGTGACTCTGAGTTGAGCCAACTGGATAGGAGACCGACTCACTTTTTTCGACACCCCCTCAGTGGAGAACCAAGCCTTCACCTCGCCTTTCTCATTCAGACTGTCTTGCAGTGGAATGCAGTGCTGCTGCAGGAACTGTTTGCAGTGGGATTTGTGTTCGTCAACACAGAAGGAAGAGTAGACTCTGGGTAGCTTGAGCTTGCAACTCCTCCACACATAGTGAGTTTGGGCAACTGTGTTTGGCTGTGTTGTCTAGAGAAACAATGTATGTACTCATCGATGGACAAGGATGAAAGTCATATTCAGAAGCAATTAATAAGTAGGTGCTCTCACCCAGTCCAACTCAGCTCTGTAGGTTGATGGTAGTGCGGCCCTGTGCAGACTCATGTAGCTGCGGACTGATGGCACAGAGAAGGGCACAGGAGATCGAGGCATGATCGCAGGCCAGTGGGTGCAGAGTTGCCTGGATCCAAATTTGGTAGAAACATGACAGGACTCAGGGTCAGGTGGGCCACATGGGGTCACCCCTGAGGCAGACAGGGAGTCCCAGCGAAATCCCCTTGAGGAGGGAGAGGAGAGGGGCAGAGAAAGAAGAGAGGAGAGGGTCCCAGTTTCTCCCCTATAAGAAGGTCACACCCACCAGGAGGCTGTGGCCTGATGGACAGGCTGTATTCCACTCCTACACTTTGCTACAGATTCAATTTGACGTGAAATCTTCCTACCACACCAACAGTCAGCATGGCCGCTCAATTCATTAGGTGGACAGAAGATGAAGGACAGATGGATGGGTCAGGCTGATCACCTGGACCCGCTGGTCCATCTTAACATCACAAATAAAACACACAGC